GAAAATATTCCTTTGATATAGAGCATGAAAAAGATACCGACTGCTGCGATATCTTGGAACTTGCCTTGTCGTTATTTTTTCACATTTTCATCAGGATAAGATAATGTATTTAGTAAAATATTCGATTTTGTGTTTGTTGCTCGGACAGTTTCAATTCCACTGGGGAAAACTTCTCATCGTTTGGTGAACAAGAGATCGGTGAACTTGAACTATGGTGATTTAAAGGAATTACCGCCTCAGATGCAGATTCAAATACAAATTTGTAGTATTTTGATTTTGCACAATTTCACGGACTAAACGCGTTCACTCTCAGAAATGTGTACCTAAAGCTATCTAACAGCAAATACAGTCAGTACTGTCTTAGTGCGTCAGTGGAGCATGGTACTTAGCGCCACATCTTGTCGTGATGTCCTGGGGAGAGGACGATCTCGTAAAGCAATACTCGCTTTTATGGAAATGATACATACAGTGATTTCGCAGCCAAGGCTCCACAATCAGACCAARAAGAGCTGCCGAMAGAATTCCAGCTCCCATGGCAAAAACAGAATACCCCATGATAAACTCACGCTGCTTCTCATCGAACGCTTCCCTGAAGAACATCAGAACATTATTGAACAGAACTCCGATGATTAAACCAGCAGTAAGGCAAAGACATAGGGTTATTCCAACTCCAGGAAGAAATCTGTACCAAGATTCTAAAATAAAGAATAAAAGGTGAAGACTTTCGAGAATTGATAAAGTCCATAGAAGCTGCCATGTGGGTTTTGGGTCCCAGTTTGGTCTCCAGTGGGACACCACTATGCAATAAGACCGTCCAATGACCTCCCCTATCATGAACGTAAAAACGTAGTATTGGTAGTGATCACGTGGTCTAAATGGCGCGTTGGTGTAGGCTATGGTCGTCAGGACAGACTGAATTACCAGGTACTCCGAAAACCACGCGGTAAAAAGAGGGATTAGCGTCAATGAACAAATAGTCTTTAGTGCAGCAATTTTCTCTTTCAAAGTCAACTGCTCTTGCTCCACAAACATGGCCTCGCTCATCTTTTCAGTCAGCCTGTCTGGCTTCTCTTCCCCGTCTGTACCACCCTCAGTATCATCAGTGGTTTGGATTTTGGTGTATGTTACCTCCCCGTGGACGGTTGGCTGGGAGTTATAGGATCCTAAGTGTTTTTTGTCCATGATGTAATAGCAGACGAAGAGGAGTATCAACATGCCAGCCATTATGAGGATGGTGACCTTTGGTGAAACACAGATCCAGGTTGTCATGGCTAAAGAAAAAGTGAAATCATTATTTTTATCATTATCATTTTTTGCTAGAGATTATAGAGAGAACTGACCACTAACAAATTCTGCTTTTTTTGGGTCTCAAGGATAACATAAGCGCGATAACACTGATCAAAACAATTTGCGCAAATTCGTTGTGGAAATCTGACGAACTTGGAGACAAGAATAGGATATCAAAACCAGAACGTTATTTTCTTTTCAGTTCTTCATCCTCTTCTTCTTGATGTGTTTTTCTTGCGAAACGAAGCGTAATGCAAGTGTAAATTGTGAAAACCACGCTCTTGCGATGACAAACGCAAAGATCAATATCGAAGGCAAGCTAGTCTGTAATTGAATTTCAGATATATTGGACGGCGTTTTTTTTCACAACGTTCTCCTTTAAAGTCGACCGAAACATTAAACGCATCGACTTATTTCAAAATCAATAGAGATTTTATTACATTCATATCACCAATTTATCATTTGCTATCTTATGCGACATCCGGGCAAAAGAAAGACAGTGTTATCAAAGCGATTTTGTTATATACAATATTCAGCACTCCCGGCGAATGATATTTTTCGTTTTATTATTTTTTTTATTTATTTTAGCGTGTTTGTGCTAATGTTATAATCATTATATTAGTACATTTCTCTTTTTCTATTCCTTTCGTATTTTCCGAATGCAAATAAGGGCCTTCTAAAAACAATCCAAGCCGGAAACAAAAAGAAGTTAAAAAATGAGCTGTCATTCTTAATTAATGCGCAAAAAGTATTATTTTGTATGTTGAATTTAAAAAATGCGCAGAAAGAAAAAAATATAACGTAAGGGATCGGAGTTTACAATTTTACCTGTGTAATAAAGAGGTGCTGCCACAAATCCTACGCCAGTTCCTGCAGAATAAGCCGATAATGCAGACGAATGAAAGTACGATGTCAGCGCGAGAAAGCTAACTTCTCCCACTCCATAACCAAGAGACGCTACTCCGATGCCAATCAGCTTCCACTCAACTTCTTTGGAGCATACAACGACGATAAAACCAACAGCGCCCGTTAAAAAAACAAAGCAAATACGAACAAAATATGATATCTTTTTCATAAAGAACGGAGCTACAAATGTTACCACGACATAAGGACCAATGTTTGCTACTAAAACCATAGATGTTTGAATGTATGTCCCTGCGAGAATATCTTGTGCACTAGATATCATTAACGAGTACATTGCGTATATGAGAGCTCCAAACACGAAGAATGCCAAGAGCGTCCTGAGSTGTTCTTTATCTGGCGATTTCTTGATCTCTGCATTCTGGTTTTCTGTTGGYATCAATGCTTTYGAGTAATCACAATTCGYGTCTGCCATTTTGATACAAAGCTAAGCACACTTAGAGCCAAAGTCACTTTGAAAGTAAGAGCAAACTCTTGTAGAATAACAATGCAGTCTCGAAATCACAACACGTATCTTATTTTGATTTTAAAATTGCAATTTTCTCTTCTCTTTCCGCTAAATTCCCAATGAATAACGGCTAGCTAAAACCCGAAAGGTTTCTTTTTCTTCTGTGAAATCTAATTAGTTTTACACTTTAAGTTTCCAAATCGTAAGTTTCCTTGAAGCATGATTTTCYATCAGGTCTGGTCAGTGCAAGTGTGTAGGAGCACTAGCGGGTRTTATAGCTTTTGTTGTGTGTCAATGATATTTGGTTGCACCTGCTCACTGTCGCTATAGCTGGGCGCTAAAGTCATGCTNTAGTATTTTGATTTTGCACAATTTCACGGACTAAACGCGTTCACTCTCAGAAATGTGTACCTAAAGCTATCTAACAGCAAATACAGTCAGTACTGTCTTAGTGCGTCAGTGGAGCATGGTACTTAGCGCCACATCTTGTCGTGATGTCCTGGGGAGAGGACGATCTCGTAAAGCAATACTCGCTTTTATGGAAATGATACATACAGTGATTTCGCAGCCAAGGCTCCACAATCAGACCAARAAGAGCTGCCGAMAGAATTCCAGCTCCCATGGCAAAAACAGAATACCCCATGATAAACTCACGCTGCTTCTCATCGAACGCTTCCCTGAAGAACATCAGAACATTATTGAACAGAACTCCGATGATTAAACCAGCAGTAAGGCAAAGACATAGGGTTATTCCAACTCCAGGAAGAAATCTGTACCAAGATTCTAAAATAAAGAATAAAAGGTGAAGACTTTCGAGAATTGATAAAGTCCATAGAAGCTGCCATGTGGGTTTTGGGTCCCAGTTTGGTCTCCAGTGGGACACCACTATGCAATAAGACCGTCCAATGACCTCCCCTATCATGAACGTAAAAACGTAGTATTGGTAGTGATCACGTGGTCTAAATGGCGCGTTGGTGTAGGCTATGGTCGTCAGGACAGACTGAATTACCAGGTACTCCGAAAACCACGCGGTAAAAAGAGGGATTAGCGTCAATGAACAAATAGTCTTTAGTGCAGCAATTTTCTCTTTCAAAGTCAACTGCTCTTGCTCCACAAACATGGCCTCGCTCATCTTTTCAGTCAGCCTGTCTGGCTTCTCTTCCCCGTCTGTACCACCCTCAGTATCATCAGTGGTTTGGATTTTGGTGTATGTTACCTCCCCGTGGACGGTTGGCTGGGAGTTATAGGATCCTAAGTGTTTTTTGTCCATGATGTAATAGCAGACGAAGAGGAGTATCAACATGCCAGCCATTATGAGGATGGTGACCTTTGGTGAAACACAGATCCAGGTTGTCATGGCTAAAGAAAAAGTGAAATCATTATTTTTATCATTATCATTTTTTGCTAGAGATTATAGAGAGAACTGACCACTAACAAATTCTGCTTTTTTTGGGTCTCAAGGATAACATAAGCGCGATAACACTGATCAAAACAATTTGCGCAAATTCGTTGTGGAAATCTGACGAACTTGGAGACAAGAATAGGATATCAAAACCAGAACGTTATTTTCTTTTCAGTTCTTCATCCTCTTCTTCTTGATGTGTTTTTCTTGCGAAACGAAGCGTAATGCAAGTGTAAATTGTGAAAACCACGCTCTTGCGATGACAAACGCAAAGATCAATATCGAAGGCAAGCTAGTCTGTAATTGAATTTCAGATATATTGGACGGCGTTTTTTTTCACAACGTTCTCCTTTAAAGTCGACCGAAACATTAAACGCATCGACTTATTTCAAAATCAATAGAGATTTTATTACATTCATATCACCAATTTATCATTTGCTATCTTATGCGACATCCGGGCAAAAGAAAGACAGTGTTATCAAAGCGATTTTGTTATATACAATATTCAGCACTCCCGGCGAATGATATTTTTCGTTTTATTATTTTTTTTATTTATTTTAGCGTGTTTGTGCTAATGTTATAATCATTATATTAGTACATTTCTCTTTTTCTATTCCTTTCGTATTTTCCGAATGCAAATAAGGGCCTTCTAAAAACAATCCAAGCCGGAAACAAAAAGAAGTTAAAAAATGAGCTGTCATTCTTAATTAATGCGCAAAAAGTATTATTTTGTATGTTGAATTTAAAAAATGCGCAGAAAGAAAAAAATATAACGTAAGGGATCGGAGTTTACAATTTTACCTGTGTAATAAAGAGGTGCTGCCACAAATCCTACGCCAGTTCCTGCAGAATAAGCCGATAATGCAGACGAATGAAAGTACGATGTCAGCGCGAGAAAGCTAACTTCTCCCACTCCATAACCAAGAGACGCTACTCCGATGCCAATCAGCTTCCACTCAACTTCTTTGGAGCATACAACGACGATAAAACCAACAGCGCCCGTTAAAAAAACAAAGCAAATACGAACAAAATATGATATCTTTTTCATAAAGAACGGAGCTACAAATGTTACCACGACATAAGGACCAATGTTTGCTACTAAAACCATAGATGTTTGAATGTATGTCCCTGCGAGAATATCTTGTGCACTAGATATCATTAACGAGTACATTGCGTATATGAGAGCTCCAAACACGAAGAATGCCAAGAGCGTCCTGAGSTGTTCTTTATCTGGCGATTTCTTGATCTCTGCATTCTGGTTTTCTGTTGGYATCAATGCTTTYGAGTAATCACAATTCGYGTCTGCCATTTTGATACAAAGCTAAGCACACTTAGAGCCAAAGTCACTTTGAAAGTAAGAGCAAACTCTTGTAGAATAACAATGCAGTCTCGAAATCACAACACGTATCTTATTTTGATTTTAAAATTGCAATTTTCTCTTCTCTTTCCGCTAAATTCCCAATGAATAACGGCTAGCTAAAACCCGAAAGGTTTCTTTTTCTTCTGTGAAATCTAATTAGTTTTACACTTTAAGTTTCCAAATCGTAAGTTTCCTTGAAGCATGATTTTCGATCAGGTCTGGTCAGTGCAAGTGTGTAGGAGCACTAGCGGGTCTTATAGCTTTTGTTGTGTGTCAATGATATTTGGTTGCACCTGCTCACTGTCGCTATAGCTGGGCGCTAAAGTCATGCTAATAATTACAATACAATATACAAACTGAAAATTGATTGGAAATTGAAATTGTAATTGAGCAAGAAATGTAGAATACAACCGATTGCTTAGATATATATCCAAAGTTATTTCCAGTTGAAGTCAAAGCGTGAAATTTCAACTTTTAAAGCAAGTTGTTTAATATTTGTTTAATTATATGATTATATAGTTTCCCTGGAGACACTTGCATATTCGACACTCATTATTGACACCGATATATAAATAAAAAAAATGATTTTGTACCGGCTAACATATTTAAAAATTTTATAACGGAAGCAAAAAGATAAACTTGCGAAGAAAATTCAAATTATTTTGATGCCTTTTGATTCCTTGAACCAGTCGTATCTTTTTTTTCTATTTATAATTGTACCTACGATGTTGCTTTCCAGTGTTCACAGCAGATGCAAGTATATATTTAAGATTACACAAAAGCTCGCCACAATATGGTGAGAATGTATTCAGAAGGAGCAGATGGCTTGAATGCGGGGTGATTTAGCGATTGCTTTGAAAGCTTATTCATTAATACCAGCTTAAGCTCGTCTCTGTTATTCAAATTTTAATTTGAGAAGGCTCTTCGAGGATTATTTTAGCAAGGGAGGAGAGGGGAAGTTCTAGGAATTCTCCTTCACCCATCATGCCTTACTCGCTACTCTCGTCCCCAGGGCCTTATCTTAAACGACTGAAGCGATGTTTCGTCCGCCATCTTGAAATAAATGGCTTGTATTCCAATACATTTGTAGTGTATTTCTTTTCCTTGGACTTTTTTCAAACTATTTACATTCTTTTTATACATGACGCGATAACACTTTTCAAATTTGCTGGTCTGGTAAAGCAATATTCTGTGTTCTTTACATGCGAAATGCAATGATTGAATAAAGCTGGTTCTACGAAAAGTCCTATAAACGAGGAGATTAATGTCCCACAGTTGGGAGCAAAAAGTGCCATCGTTAATACAAATTCGCGTTCATTTCCTTCAAACGAAGCGCGGAGGATCTCAAGACAACTTGAATATATCAGACCAATAACAACTCCACCGGTAAAACAAAAAAATATGAGAGCTCCAACTCCAGGAAAAAAGCGAAACCAAGATTCAAAGAAAAATAGTAATAGATGGGCAAATTCCAAAGTAGCCAAAACCCATAGTAACACAGGCGTCGGTCTATACAACCATGAAGGTTTAACAATTCCAAGGATGCTCCTATTGGATCGCCCCAGGACCTCTCCTATCATCAGCGCGAGCGAGTAGTACTGGTAATGGTCACGTGGTGCAAAGGGTGAACTGGGATAAGCTATGGTCGTGATAACGGACTGATAAAATAAATACTCTGATGCAAATGCGATTGATAAGGGCCCTAAAACCAGAMCAAGCAACTTCTTGAAAGCTGAAAACTTTTCTTTCCATGTTAAAACGTCCTTACTGGCAAATGTGTGGACATCTTTCTGTGGTGCATCGTCTTCGTCCTCGCTATCTAAAGCCTCTAGCTTGGAGTAAGGAACTTCCTTTCTTGTTGTCAWCGATGGTTTAAGCTCATCTTTAGTGATTTCTCTTTGGATAAAATAGTAGAATAGCAGTAATATCATTGAGCATGGCCCCAGTATTAGAAAAGTCGTCCTAGATGACACGCACAGCCATGTAGTCATRCCTAGAATGAAAAAATAAATAAAATATTAAGATTCTCAGGTAATAAAACTAAGTCCCGCGCTATACGCTGAACTTCACATGTGCCGAATACAATTTACGAATTAAATGCATGTGAGACCGATGCGGCGTATAAATCAATTAAATTCGACAGTATTGATTTAAATACGACTTCAGTCGAATCTGCGATTTAAACAGTGGAAGATACGGCAATGGTGCGGCGCAGTTGGTTTAGTTGTAAAGGGATGGAAAATAGAAACATGAAAAAGTGAGTTTTATTGTGAGCTTTTTTGTCCGAGAGGGGATTGGGAATTAAATTCACTTAAAATTCGGCGTCTAAATCAAATGCCGTATTTAACCTATTATAAAGTCGACTTAAATAAGAGTTGTATTCGGCACATGTGAAGTTCGGCGTATAGCGCGGGCCTAACGATTCRCTATTTGTCACTATCTATTTCATATATTTTTTGCACTCTATTAATGAACCAGAACGCAATCAAGATGAATTAAAAATGGTCTCATGTGGATTCATCTTCATTGTGTTCTGGTTCATTGATACTGACAACTTGTCTCTAAATATCCGCTATTTGTTAGTATTTAGTTTGGTTTTAGAGTCATTTTCATCCGTCTGTGAAACAATTACTACTAGTCAGTGTTTAATAGTAACTATTAGGGTGAAGTAGGCTACCAAAAGGCAAAATCAAAACCGTGTTTGCCTATGATTGGGGTAATAGTATTTAATAGTACACTGAATTACTATTTCACAGAGGGATAAAAATCACTCTATTACACGGTTCTCCTGCGTTTGCTCTTGGACTAGCTCCGTGTTTGTTTGTTTGTTTTTTTTTTTGGTTGTTGTTGTCCAGTGATATTGCTTTTTTAAGCTTTTTGTTGTTTGTTGTTGTCCAGTGATATTGCTTTTTTAAGCTTTTTGTTGTGCTGAAGAAGCGCAAACTGCCGATCATGGGATTTTATCATTTTAGGTGAATAGATATGTTTAATACATGTAGTTTTCTTTTACCTGTGTAGTAAAGTGGAGCTATTAGTAGACCAYCACCCGTTCCAGTAGAATACCATGACAAAGCCGAAGGTTTGAAATACGATGTTAGACCAGCGATGCTTGTGTCTGCAACAGCAGCTCCCAAAGATGCTAACGATACAGCCGCTAGGTTCCAGTAAACATTGTGAACTAGTCCCAGAGAAAGAAAAGCCGTCAATTCACAGATAACAACAATTATAAAGCGAACAAGGTATGGAACTCTCTTGGCGAAAAGTGGGAARACGAGAGGAACCAAGGTATACGGTGCAATGTCTGCTAAAAGAACAGTCGAAGTTTGAATCTCTGTCCCCGCAAGGATGTCTTGAGCTCCAATCAATAGAATGATAAAAATCATATAAATAAGTACAGGAGAGAGAAAAAAGGCCACGTGAAGGCAAACGCTTTCGTTTTCTTCATTTTCTTGTGTCTTCAGCTGTGTTTTGTGATGATTCATGCTTTCTGTCTCGTTGTTCAGTGTTGAAGTAGTCGAGAGTTGAGGTGGTAGTTTTGAGAACTCATTGCAATTTGTATCTAAGGCTTCTATTTGGTATTACTTCGAAGAAAACAAACAGCAAAAGAAAACGTCCGAGTAAGAACTCTTGAAGAATAAAACTAAACACTTGTACNTTGTATTTAGTTCAGTACTGAATGTACTATTGTTACTAAGACTGTTCCAGTTGAATGACAGTGACTAATAGCCATTATTTCATACTTGATTCAGTTTTCTTTGTTATTCATAGTGTTGTATCTCGCTTATTCCCCAGCTATTCCCCGTTGTGTATTCAAGTGCTTTATATCAGTTATATCGAAGTTTCAGGGATATATCTAGATATCGCCCCCATTTGAGGGCAATATCTATATGTATATTGCCCTTGAATACCTAATTAACTACTACGTTCAACTTAGAAATTTTCCGTCTGAAACTTGAAACTTGAAAGAAAGAAAGAAAAATTCAAATGACACCAAGTACCCACAACCTTAGCTTTGAAAATCATACACGTTATGCTAACTAACTAATCGATGTCAGTTATGGAATAAAACAGTTATTTAACATTGTCCAGTTACTTGTTACATTGTCCAGTTACATTGTCCAGTTATATTGTTAGCATTGGTCTCATGGGACTAACGAGAAAATTGGTTATGCAAATTATTCCCGTTGGGAATTTTCAATACTGTAAATTTCGTAATCTTTCTAATCGAGGGTTTGGTTTTTAATTCATATGAAAACGGCTTCTTTGCCTATTTAAAAATGAAAATATTAATGCAGTGCTTGGAAAACTTCTTCAAGTATGAAATAAGCCAGTTACATACCTCGAACGTCGGCAATCAGCCTATACATGTATTAGGCTAATTGCCTCCGTTCTCGGTATGTAACTCTTACTTTTACTTGGCAGCAGATTCTATTATGCAAATGTTTTATGCTTTCTTTTGTGTTTGGCAAGGTCTTTGCACAAGAGAATCTGTTGTCAAATAAATTCGCTTTGAATTCGAAAATGGAGTATTTAATGAAATGCTAGGATCTGTTGCAGTAATGGTATCAGTATCAAACCATGACTCAAGTACTAGACATATAAGTGACTATAAGGGTGCTTTCCATTTACTAGGCAGAACTGGCCGGCCAGTCCACTCTATTTAGAGGTATATAATGCTTTTTGTCAACATTTTTCCGTCATTTCGAGGTTTTCTGTAGAATAATGGATAGAATTTGAAAATTTGAATTTCCTAACTATAAATGGGAATGATATATAATGACATTTTCTCTGGGTCTGGCCAGCCAGTTCTGACAAATGGAAAGCGCACTAAGTAGCTATAGAAAGGAGCTTGGGTTACCTGATCAACATACCATGCCGGACATAATGTGTTGCCCCCTGTGTTTTATGTAGGATGTTTCTACAAATTAATTAAAGCCATTGCCTTCTCCCCCCTAAAAAATATCCCAATAATGCTTGTAGTTCTCAATAAAAGATGCAGGTCGTCACCTAGCAAGAAGCCGGTGCAACACTGAATCAAGGGAGGGGAGGGGAGGTTAAAGCAACGGGAAAGACTGCCTTGAACATGAAATTGGTTCATTTGTGAGTTTTGTCTCCGGTTGTGTAGCGTTCTCGTTCGAAATAGTGAGGTCGACCACACAAAACGTACAGTCCACAAACTTGCAATAATTATAAATTTGAATGTCTTGTAAAGCAGTAAGCTTTGACAGTTAAAGTTGATAAACAGTGTTCTTTCAATTGAGGTTCAATATAGATTCCAGCTATAGAAGCTGACAAAATCCCAAGATTTGTAGGAAGTAAGGCGACTGCCAGTATAAATTCTCTTTCCTTCGCATCAAATGACTCGCGCACAAGCTCCATGACACTTGTAAAGACAATACCAGCAAAAAAACCTCCTGTGAAACACAGTAAAACTGGAATCCCAACTCCAGGAAGGAAACGATACCAAGACTCAAAGAAAAAGAATATCAAATGTAAAACATCTAGAAAAGCAAGRARCCACAAGAGTAAAGGASTTGGAGAAAACAGCCAATTGGGTTTGACAATTTCCAGGATGCTTCGATTTGACCGACCCAGGACTTCTCCRACCATCAAMGCGAGCGAGTAGTACTGGTAATGGTCACGTGGTGGGAATGGCGAACGTGGATAAGCAATAGTTGTTATGACCGAGTCGAAGAACGTGTACTCAGCAAAGAAGCTGACAATTGAAGCACCGCAAACCAAACGAGTCATTTTCATAACCGCGGAAAGTTTTTCATTGCAGGAAAGAGGATCTTTATTAATGGGCACCTTTTTTTCTTTTTGATCTTCTGAAAAGTCTTCCTTTTTGTTCCCCGAAGCATTCTGTTMAMTMTCGACTGCCGTGATTTCTACTGATTCTCTCTCTTTTTTGGTCATCTCTTTGTGGATGAAGTAATAGCATACCAGATATATCAAGGAACACGGCCCCAAGGTGAGGAAAGTGATGCCTGGAGAAATGTTCAACCATGTTGTCATTGCTAAAAAGAATACAGTTTTGCAGTGAATGGAATAAAGTTTTATCATTGAATCATATCATATATAATGGAAGCTATTTTGGATTCACTGGAAAAGTTTTGCTATTTCATTTTAAGAATATTCAAACTTAATCAAAATAGGTCACCAAGAGCATCGTGAAGGTAATTTAACTTATGAATAGAAGGACAATCATTATGAGATGTTGTACTCGCTTTAGTTGTTTTTAACCATTGCATTGGAATGACAGAGTGCGGCCTTACCTGTATAGTAGAGCGGGGCAAGAATCAAACCAACACCGCTTCCAGTTGAATACCAAGACAACACCGTTGGCCTAAAGTAAGTAGTGAGTGAAAGAAGACTTATGTCACCAATCCCAGTGGAGAAAGTCGCAAGCGAAACAGCAAAGATCTTAATGCTTACGTTCTCCGCAAGACCTAAAATCATGAAAGCGGTAAAATGCCCCACAACGAAGAGAACAACACGCACAATGTACGGGATTCTGTTGATAAAGAAMGGGAGTATAAGAGGTGCCACTGAACAAGGACCGATGTCTGCTAGCAAAACTGTCGAGGTTGGAATGGTAGTTCCTTCTAGAATGTCCTGAGCTCCGATCATAAACACACTCAAAACCACACAGAGCATTGTTGAGTAGATAAAAAAGGACACATTTATGCTYGTGCTCTCGACCTCTAATTTTTGAGACGTATTTAAGCTTTTGTTATCCGCCATGTCTCTATAGTTGCGATTYCAAGTTGTTGGAGAAGGTTGATAAGGTACACTAATCAATTTAATATAAACGAATTTTCTGGTTTTGCCAAACTGACAGCCATGAAGCCACCAGTAGCCATCGTTCAACTACCAGGATTGGTTCAATGATTTAATCAAAAAAATGTCAACTAAATAAACAAAATAAATTTGTTCATAGTGGTATTTTATTGGCATTGGCATAGCTCCGGATTGCATCTGTTGTATAGTTTATGGAATATTAAATGTTTTCAATAAAACTAACGCAAAAAATAATGGAATAAACAAAGTGATGAAATTAAGTGACTTCAGACTGTCGAAGCATGTAAGGTCATTTTTGTTAATTTGTCAAGTAATTGTCTTTATTAATTAATAACGCTTAGAGCGTTAAACAACAATTGTATTAATTAGTTTAATTGATTAAATAAAACGAAACACTCTTACAATCTCCATTAACGTTAGATACGCCTATTTGGTATAGAACTATTTACTATCAGAGATTTATAGAACAGCCGCCGAGGAAATGCCCAAAAAAATATGGCACTTTTGTACCGTGTGTGACATGATGGAAGTATCTTCTTTAGAGGGATTTCGTATGACTGTGCAAAAAACACGGCACTTTCGCGCTGTGACCYTACCGTGCCGTAGCGGTGATGTATTGTTTAATCTTTATTTTTATTTTGGAATCCTAGAAGGCGAGGTTCCGTGACCGTGCCGTGTCGTGTCCGTGTTGTGATCCGTGCCGTTGCACAGTCATCCGCTCTATTGTCATCACAGGCGAGGCGAGGTTTCGTGACTGTTCCGCGTGCCGTGATCGATTCGTACCGTTGATCACAGTCAAGCGGAAACACGGCTCTAATTAAATTATTACTTGACAGAATTTTATTTCTAATGACACGAAGAAGTAAAGTTAACAAACGACGAAGCTCTTGTTAAACAAAATGAGCTATCTGAAATAGAAAACTGACAATGTATCCTGAGAACATTTTCTACAGAGATCCCCACTAAAGCTGCCACGAAGCTCCCACAGAACATCGGGAAGGAAATGTAGCCAAGCATGAATTCGCGTTTCCTGCCTTCAAGTGCTACACTCAAATATTCAAGCATGTTATTGAAAAGAATTCCAACGGCCACTCCTGCCGTGAAAGTGATAAACAAAGCCAGACCAACACCGGGAAGAAAGCGATACCAAGACTCTACAGCAAAGAACACGACGTGGATCACTTGAGCCAGCGAAACAAGCCACAGCTTTAGCGAGGTTTCTTCGTAAAGAAGCTGCGAACTCATCAAGCGAAGGACAGAGCGATGGCATCTTCCGAGAAACTCGCCGACCATATAGATAAATATGTAYTATTGGTAATGATCACGTGGTGGAAATGGAGCGTTTTGATAGGATAAGGTGGTGATGACGGCTTGAAGAAGCATGTACTGCGAGAAGAAACCGATGAAGACTGGGACGAAACATCTAAACATCATTTCCATGATGACGGATAGCTTTTCCCTTGTTGTCAAAAACTCCGAATTTTTTTTCACTTTCTCAACCCTTTCTGGTTCTTCTTTGAGCTTTTCTAGTCCGATGCTATCACGCRTGTCAATAAAATCATCTTCGTCGTCTTTAGTTAACTTGGTGTAATTATATTCCCGAAAAGTACTTTTGTTTAGGTCTGTTTCAGGCAAGTTTCGGTTGACTATGATGTAAGCCACTATGTATAAACATGTTAATGGCATGAAAACGAGAATGGCAATATTTGGAGCTACGCACAACCAAGTGGTTATGGCTGAAATAACGAAGACAATGCAATCAACATTATTGTTCTTTTAAAAACATTAAAAGAAGTCGAAACTGTCAACTGATGTTATTAGTATAATAGGATGCCGAATGAGAGACCGAATATATTCATTCTAGTTGATATTCAACATCGAATAGAATAGGAGATTGCTACTCATATATTTAAACTCTTCGTAAATAGTGTTTTCCCTATCTATGGGTTTGGCAATTAATCAAGACTATTTCCTATATGATAATCCGATAAGCCCCATCAGTAAGTCGAATAGAATAGGATATTACATGAGAGCAATATTTCGGTTTTTATAAAATTGGATTTATTTTCCATCCATGATGTAGACAAGTTTGATGAGCGCCGCCAATTTTATAAAAACATCGTGCAGAACAACACCTCTGTTATAAGTAGTGATAATAATTGGAATCTTTTATTGTATAAAGAAGCATTTTTCATCAAACAAAACAAACCATCCTTAAACACTGGCCTCCGCGCCTCTAGAGAATTAACTTTGTTTAATTAATTCATCTATCCAGTATATATTGTATTGTCTTGTCTTTGCGTTTTTGTAAACTATTAGCCTGGTGATGGTTTTGCAATAAAACCGAAATATTGCTCTCATGTAATCTCCTATTCTATTCGATGTTGAATATCAACTAGAATGAATATATTCGGTKTCTCATTCATCCTATTCTACCTAAAACTGTCAGCTTGTCCTGGATTTTATTAGTATAAAGCTCTGTAAATTACTTTCTCACCTGTGTAATACAACGGCGCGGCAATGAAACCAAYCCCTGTACCAGTTGAGTACATGGACAACGKTTTGATATCAAAGAACGATGCCAACGCTATACAGCTGATGCTTGCTACACCATTGRCTAATGAGGCTAYCGCTACACCCGCCAYTTTCCACTCGACGGCTTTAAATAAGCCAGTTARTAAAAACCCTCCRACACTAGCTGCAAAAACAAAGGCAAATCGTATACTGTATGGAATCCTCTTCATGAAGTATGGAGCGATCAAAGAGATCAAGGAAGATGGACCTCTYTTTGCTAACAAGACGATGGAAGTTTGAATGGGAGAACCTGRTAGAARATCTTCTGCTGCAGATAGTAAAACTACAAAGGTCGAGCTCACAAMACAGCCCATGGCGAAGAAAGAAATCAAAGTGCCTTTTCGTTCATTGCTCTCTTGGTTGTCCTTGTGGATGAGTYGAAGGCGGTAGTTGCTTTTTGGTATATCTGTGGGTTTTGTCAGCGACTCCAGTGGATTCATCGTGTAGCGTTCTCTGTACTTTAATCTATGCCGCTACTGACTTTTCGCGAAGAAAAAGATACTCCCGGGGGGGTACTCCCCTATATTCGCTATACGGGGACGTGCCGCCAGCTAGGGTATCGTTTTCAGCGATTTTACTCTGGAACTGGGTATCGATTTTAGCGATTTTACTCTGGAACAGGGTATCGATTTCAACGAATTTTCTCTGGAACAGGGTCAGGGTTGAATTCCGGAATTATTGATGCTGGATAAAAATTCATGGGGTAAAAATTCGGTCTACACGCAAGCTAGTGCAGGATTTTACTCTGGAACAGAGTATCGTTTTCATCGATTTTACTCTGGAACAGGGTATAGTTATCAGCGATTTCACTCTGGAACAGGGTCAGGGTTTTGAGGTCCCAGCGGCACACCCCCACCCAAGTTTCGGGGGAGTACCCCCCCCGGG